GGCGGCTGATACTGGTTTTGGATTGTTCTTTATTGTCGTGATCCAGTCATTAACGGTGTCGTCCAGTACACTCAGTGGCATAGCACCATTTGTCAGAACGACGGAATGGAAGTCGCGGATATCAAACAATGAACCTGGTTACAGAAACAACATTACTTGAACAGTGAATCAGGAATCCATGTATAATATGTTTACAATAAAATGCTTATTTCTCGTCCATTCCATTTTCTTAACTGTGCAATATCTTATTACAGATATAAACTTAGGGTTCGTATTCTGAAGGTCCAGGTTTCAATATGTATTTCAAAGTCAAGTCGTTTGAAAGTTTTTCCATGCTATCATTCTGAACGGCTGAATATAGTATTTAGGCACGCTTAACAAAGTGACGATGGAAAATCATTAACTCTAATGTCTTCAGTTTGGTAAGCCGAAATACAAACTTTGTCAAGATACTCGAAACCTAACCTTTACAAGAAGATGATTTATTTTCAACCTTTTTGATTAATTAATTATATTCGTTTACAAAATGATATGTACATTTTATAATTTTCAAAATGTGTAGTTTACTATCAATAAAATATGTCAGTATTATGGGAGGTTATGAAAACATCTAACAGACTATTTAGACCAGTTTAAAAAATAAAATTAATGTCTTTATTCTTGGTAACAATGTTTAACAGTTAACTTAAAACGTTACTGTTTTACCTACCCAGTTCAGATTCTGCTTTCCTTCTGAGCTCTCTTATACGAATTTCTCCGATCTTGTAAGCACATGCCTGTCCCGGCCAGGTTATGTACCGGTTAACCTCTATAGTTATAGCTTCGCGTGAAAAGGAGGTGTAGTTCAACATGTATTCAACAGCTCTTTGCTGCTCCCAACTGAAAAAGAAAATCAATCCATGCTATTTATTTTGTATCTAGAAATGATAAAACTTGCACGTAACACTATCTACATTTATGTATCTAGACTCGTTTTCGTTTCAGATGCAACAATCTTAAACACAACACCAGCTGATTAATACATGTATCTGCATGGATTTGTTTTCATTTCATAGGCTACAATCTTAAACAGGGCACTAGCTGCTTTGACTCGTTTTCATTCCTTACGTTTTAATCGTAAAACATAGCACTAGTTACATGTACTTGTTTTCATTTCACAACCTTCAATCTTAGATATAGCACTAGTTACTTGTCCTCGTTTTCATTTCGAATACTTCAATTTCAAACATGCCACTAGCTGTTTGGACTCATGTTCGTTTAGGATGCTTCAATCTTAAATACAGCACTTGATGCTTGTACTCGTATTCATTTTGGATGCTTCAATTTCAAATATAGCAGTAGCTGCTTGGACTCGCTTCGTTCACTGTCATTTATATTTCAATAACACTAACTGTGTTTTGTTCGTTTTAAGAAAATCCCAAATTTGATTTGAAAAAAAAAATCACCATCGATATAAGGTGGGGGCTTAAACATTGTACGTTCAATGTATATACCGTTGCATATGTAAAATGTTTGCTTACAACCCGATACAAAACAGGGATTATATATTTTTAGGGAATATCTTCATTCATTGATTCCTTAACGAGTATTTGCGATTACGAAAGAAGGTTGGACCAACGTCATTGTTATTTATTTACTCTTTGCTTAATATTTATTTTTGTGATATATTAAATTGCCATCTTATATTTCCGATTATCAATTCATGAATGTAAAATCTCCAAAAATGTAGGCGAAATTCAATATATAATACAAGGAACATGTACGATACTTTACGTTAAATACGTGTGCTCGTTATGACAAAGGCATACAGGGTTTTGAAACATGTAGTGTATCCCTTACAAATGAGTAGTCAGTTCAAATACTGTAATTCAAATGTAGTAAAAAAGACTTACTTGAAGTGATGTAGACCAGTATCGACAACCAGACGACAGGCTCGAAGCATTTCCGCGCTGTATCTACCCATCCTGACAAAGAAAACAAATTGCTGGTAATTATTCAACCCAGTCACTAGATAACACATTTGTACGGTATTTGGTATTGTATAACGATATCAAATGGGTATTCCCGTACCACTGCCAAAAAATGTAGCTACGCATTTTCCGGTATGACTATAGCTTTGATAAATCATATATGAAAAACAAACCATACTGTCCTCGGCTTCTAAGGAAAATAATAAAGATGAAATAAACAAAATATTTTCAACAACAATGTTGTGAATATGTTGTAATTCAGCGTCAGACCGGAACTAGAACCCGTAAACCATGGAACCCTGGACGAAATTAAGAAGAGGATACTTTGTAAACGGGAAAAAAACAATACGGAGGGACTGGGACCCTTAAGGTGCAATATGTTAGTTTAAGTATAAAAAATGATCTGTTCGATTGTATTATGTGCACATACATTTTACGATATTGAACAAGATCTTTATACATAGCAATCGTAGTTTCAACAGTAGACTAACAAAACCAAGACAAAATATTTAAGACATGCTTTGTGTCAAGACGTATGGAGTAAGAACACTGCATTCTTCATTTGAGAAAAGCAAGTATTTTTCAGGAGTGAAATAATAATAACAACTTGATACCGTTTTAGATCGCAGGTGAATTTGAAGAGGGTACATGAGACACAGGAAACTGTTACCCTCCCAGAGCACTTGCATGATTTCGACATGTGATTTTGTGAGTATTACAGATGTATCAACCTTTGTTTTGCATTTTTTTCCATGCGTATCGGTGCCATTTTGTGTATCTGTGAGTTGGCGCAGCTTTATGTAGGATATGATGTGTTGACGATATCGGCTTTGTGGGTTGACGCTGCCTTTTATAGATCGTGCTTGTGTGTTACTTCAGCGGTATACATCATGTGTATTGGCGCATCGGTATATGTCATATGTATGAATACGGTACGTGTTTGCTGACGCTGCCTCTTTTATATACTGTATACGCTAACGTCCATGAAATCAATTTTCGCCCAGAGATGATTTCGCCCTTCACATTCAAATTATATGTATGCTACATTTTATGCTGTTTTCTAATCTGTAATAATGAATTCACATTCATTACGGAGGGAGAAAAGAGTGAAAGTTAAACTGCAGCGCAAATTCCCCGGTATACACTTTTGGTATGACTAAGGTGTTTACGCAGCGTTATATATCCTATGTGTATATTGACATTGTTGTATGTATGGTACTCATGTGTCGATTGTGCGGCTTTCATCACATGTGTTGATGCATCGGTATACATCTATGTGTTTATTAACATGTATCGTATTATTATGTAAATACGCTGAGTCTATATCTGAAATGTGTTCGTGCTGCGGTTTAAATCGTACTTTGTGATGCTTCTTTGGGGCAGTATATATATAAATCATAATTTTGTGTCGATACAGCAATATAATATTATATCTGCCTGATATGTTGACACAGAAGTTCATTATTATGAATTTAGACTTTTGGTGAGGCGAATATGTGGTTATATTACCCGAGAAAGTCAAATTGACCGGGACAACGTCGATGTTAATATAACTATTACAAGCCTATGACGTCATAACGTTAATATTAATCTGTTATTTCTAAAAAAAGTAAGGCCGATTCAATTTCATCCATCAGCGTGAAAATTATCCATCCAATGATGTTGTAGGAAAAAATATGCGATATGTAACATTATATACTTATTGACGTTGCGATATTTATTTTACTAATGTGATGATGATATGGTGCAATTATTTTTGTTGTATTGGGACTCCGGTATGGATTTTCTTTGTGTCACCTTTTAAGTTTCTATATTGGAAACTTACAGTTCATAGTCATCCTTATAAAGTCCCATTTCCACACCGAGGTACTCGGCATACAACGCCCATCCCTAAACAACAAAATGAAAAAGCCTTTAAATTCATTACATGTTCTCCAGTGAGATATAAAAGTCCATCAATTTGATAAAACTTATATTCTTTTCACTCACTTGAACAATTCTTTTTGGTTCTGACCAATAAAAACGATTCTTTAAATTTACTGCATTTGAAGCCGTTTAACTGTAATATAAGTGGATGTTTTGGTACATATTTGTTACACACACTATGCTATTTATTTAACAACATAATTGATAACATAATAGTTTTCTTGTTAAATAATTTTATATTGGAGTCATTTGGCTTGATATATCGATGTCTTCTCTCATGCTTCGCACTCGTGTAACGTGCTTGTATTCAGTCACTCTAATGAGATAAGTATTATCTTATTCAATGGGAAATGAAATATTATCTATGCATCTAATTGGTGAAAATGATTTACATTAAAAGAAATCAGATATAACCATCGAAAATAGAATAATACTTACCGTGAAGACATATATGGAACACGACAAAGATATACTGATGCAAGGGACGAAGTAGAAAAGACAATTTAAGAAGGAAAATCCGAACGATAATTATAAGAATTACCCGCATATGAGTTATAGATAATAAGTGTATCTTACCTCAACGTAAGCAGTATAGAAAGGGAAATAGAAAGGAACGTCAAAAAAGGAAAGTTCTGGTTGTCGTCGATAATCTGGCAAGTCAGCTCTCATGCCATAGATGTGCTGAACATAAAACAATAGATGCATGACAACCTTACTTCTGTAAAGGAATTGTGAAAAGTGACATTATGACGGAGCTTTATTCAACCCACTAA